ACATGGGGTGCCAGGGATGGAACCTGGGTTGACTGTGTGCAAAATTCCTTACCCTATGTATATTATTGTGGCCCTACGTAATTATAGACTCTCTTGAAGCAAATTGTAGCCTCTGCAAAGAAGAGAAGATACAAAAAAGAACTAATGAAATTTTAGTGCTAAAAATGCCCAACCACTAAAATCTTTTAAAAAGTATAGGATCAGTTTAGTATTAGAATAGAGATGAGAGAGAAGCAATACATAAACTTGAAAACAGATAAAAATATAACGGAGGAAAACATATTGACAAAGAAATGAACAGACTCCTCAGGAACTGTGGAACTTAATAAAATGTTTGACATTATGAAATCTATTAGAGTCTCAGAAAGAGAGGGGGATAAGGGGCTAAATAAAGGAATAAAATTATTTTTAAAAAGCCCAAATTTGGTAGAAGAAAAAACTCACAAATTCATGAAGTTGAATGAATCACAAGTACAATAAACCCAAAGAAATCAACAGCGTGACATATCACAGTCAAATTTCTGAAAACTCAAGACAGGAAAAATCTTGAATGCCACTAGACAGAAAAAAACAAACCCAGAACTCATTACGGGAACAATGATTGAGTGACACAGTAATTTTTTCCTGAACCCACAGTGGTCAGAAATATGTGGAGCAACATATTTCAAGTGCTGATAAACACAAACTGGCAATTTAGAATTCTGCAGCAATGAAAATATAATATAAAGAGAAATCAAGATATTCTCACACCAAAGAAAATTAAACGAATTTGTCATCAAAAGAATGATTAAAGAATAATCTTCAAACAAAAAGAAAACAATAAAAGGAAACTCATAAGGAATAATGAAATAAATAATAATAGGGTCAAATATAATACTATCTTGGGTTTTTAAAATGGATTATTGAAAGCAAAAATTATGACGTAAAAAAAGGGATTAGGGGCTGGAGTGATAGCACAGCAGGTAGGGCGTTTGCCTTGAATGCGGCCGACCTAGGTTCAATTCCCAGCATCCCATATGGTCCCCCAAGCCCCGCCAGGAGTAATTCCAAGTGCAGAGCCAGGAGTAACCCCTGTGCAAGGCCAGCTGTGACCCAAAAAGCAAAAAAAAGGGGGGTGGATTAGTTGTGAGAGAGCTTGATGGACAAAGCACACCCTTTGTATGTGGGAGGCCTGAGTTTTGCCCCCAGTATCTCATGTGCACTTGGGAGCAGCCACCAAAGCAATGTTGGGAGTAGCCCCAAAGTACTGCTCACTGTAACTCAACTTCAAATTATGACATCATCTGTAACTCCCTATGTGTTTAGTACAAATTTCATTACCAGAGTTACCACGTGTGTAATTCTGGGTCAAGAGACCTGGTGATGGGCTGAGAAAGAACTTTATTGGTAGCAAGTCATCCGGTTCAAAGATGTTGACTTGTGTTCTCAAAGCAACCATCTTATCTGAACAGTGAGAAGAAAGGAGGACTTTTAGAGAAAGAGAACAGGGAAGCATATTTTTTAGGAAGGATGCTTTGCAAATCTGTGGTCTCCAGAATGCACAACAAATTCCCTCCTTGGCTGGTCCCCTGAGGTTCTCTGTCTTACCTGCAAATCTAAACAAAGGAAGGATAGGCTTTGGGGAGAAGGGTAAACTGAGGAAAACTGTCTTAATCTTTGACTCTGGTTAGTATTGTCTGATACTGATCTTTGACCTGGTTTCAACTCTTAATTTCTTTGCTGCACTTTCTTCTTTGTTGGGCAGTCCTCTCTTTAGAATATTCATTTATATGAAATGTTACATAGGTTTATCATTGGGGATCATCACGATCACGATCACGACCACCCTGTTGTTCGTCGATTGCCTCGAGCAGGTGCCAGTAACGTCTTCTTCGTCCTAGCCCTGAGATTTTTTTTTTTTAAAGTGCCATATCATTGGGGAAAGCTATGTAATTGCACACTTGGCTCCTTTGTGTGAAGTAACAGATCACAGTGACCAGTCACTCACTGACTTTGGAAGAAGCGATGCGATCAGTTGCTGGTCATGATGGGTATGTATGTTATCTGTGTAGTGATTTGTGGACTGAAGAGCTAGCAGAAAAGTTGGTATTTTATGCAATTATAGTTAATATACCGTAGCAACTGAAATTTGAGTTGTACTGGGAGACTGGTGTTAGTTAAGTGGTGGCATTTGAAACTGGTGCATAACATATTCCTGCAAAGAAATGACTGTCTGACAGAGGACTTGGATCTAGAAAATATAAAGGGCTCTTAAAACTCAACAGTAAAAAACCAGCAATCTATTTAGAAAATGGCCAGTGGACACAGACATGTCTCTAAAAAGGCAATATGGATGGGAAATAAACGCATAAGCAGATGTTTAATGTCATCTGTCATTAGAGAAATACAAATTATGTCACAATGAGATGTGTCACTGAATCTATTCAAATATCTAAAATGAAAAGATGATAATGCTGAGTGCTAGTGAGGATTTTGAGAAACTGGACCTTTCATAAGTGTTGATGGGAACATAAAGTGCTGCAGTTGCCCTGGAGAATAGTTAGATGATATTTGCTGCTGCTGCTGCTGCTGCTGCTGCTGGTGATGTGTATGTGTGTGTTTGTGTGTATGAATGTGTGTCCCAGGTAGTACTCAGGGTGTTGGAAGCCACTCCTGGTGATATTAAGCTTGGAAAAGCAGTGCTGGGGCGCAAGGATACTTGCGGGGGACCACCAACACCCTAATACTGCTGGGGGATTGAACACAGGCATGTGATGTGAGGTGATGAGAGATAGATAACACTTCCTCGTCCCCACCCCGTTTTTGCCCATGGAGATTTTTATAAAGAGAAAAAATGTATATAACCTTTATACCTATTGTATATGTGGAAGAAACCCAGCAAAGCTGAATTTCACTTCACTTTTCCCCTCTTCACTTTTAGGCCTAGCCTAATGCCCTTAGCTAGGACAAAAACTGGGGGAGAAAGAAGAAGGCAGTTCAGTTAGTTTCCAAGAAAGTGTAGGTAAATCAAAGCCACGCTGACTGAAATTTGCTTTAAGCACAGAAACAAGATAAAGGGTTTGGGTTCTCCCAGTAAATTGGGTGATTTCTTATAAAACCCAGACAATACCTGCCACATGACCAGAGAGTTATACTCTTGGGCATTGATTCCAAAGGAGTAAGAATTTTTGTTTATGCAAATATTCATGCGGTTTTACTCCTATTATTCAAAATCTGGAAATAACTCAAATGTTATTCACCAGGTGAATGGTTAAACAAGCTATGCATTAATGCAGTGGACATGGCTCAGCATTAAAGAGAAATGAACTATATAGCTCTGTGCTATAACTTGGATATGTTTGAAGTGCATTATGTTCCATAAAAAAAAAACGTTGATTTGAAAAGGTGGCAAATTGTGTGACTCCATCTATATAACGTTCTCCAGATGCCAGCAGTATAGAGATGAAGAACAAATTAATAGTTGCTAGGGCATAGGTATTGGCGGATGACGGGAGGATGAGGAACAACTCTAAAGGGGTAGCACAGTTCAGCTGTTTAGGATGATGGAATCATTCTCTAGCTTGATTGTTAGATCATTCTCTAGCTTGATTGTTAGAGTTTGTTGGAGTCTAGTTGTTGGATAAAATTATGTATCACGATACGCATATCTGTGCAAATGAGTACCTGTAAAAGCTGGTGCGATCTGAGTGAGCCCTGTTGTTGATAGTATTGTTCCTGTGTCTTTTTCTCAGTTTTGTACTATTGTTACATAAGCTGAATAAAGAGACTGTACTATTTTTGTAATTTTCTGTGAGTTTATAATTATTGTAAAATAAAAGTTAAAAACATCATTCCAGAGGCCCAGACACACAGTGGTTTGTGAGGAAAGGAGGCTGTTCCTCAGCCTTCTCACTTGTTAGTTACTCCACAGCACGTGGCAAAAACTCAGTCTCCCAAACCTCTGTGCTCAGTTTTTAGCAGTTATCCAGAGTCTTCTAGCTAGACATTAGGGGTACACTTCATTATCGCTTGCAGCCAAAGAAGCAAGATTGGGCTTCCAGGAGATATGGTCTGCTAGGAGCTGGATCTTTTCTGAGAAAGGCAAATTAATTTCTTCAGTTGGCATTCCTAAGAAGTGCTTGTAACTGGAGAGAAAACCCATAGGTAATAGATGAGCAATTTTGAGCTGACAGCTGCTCATCATCTACTTTTATAAATATTTGTGCCTGTTAATTTTTCTTGGACGAAAGGTCCACAAACCACCATGACCTTTCAGACTTGGTGTGAGCCATGTCCTCTAAAACTGGGGGGAAAATGGAAGAAAAAAATATATACATATAATTAAAGTTTTTTTAATTCACTTCAAATGAAACTTCTGTTTAAAAATCTTTGTGGATTGGGGAGGGATTGAGAGGAAATTGTTTGAGACTTGATTGTGGTACATATAGTAATTTAGCTACTTCAAACAGTTGAACAAATTGTACACCTGTAGTTAGATTGACAGTAATGACAGTGATTTAATTTTCATCAGCAGATTGCTCCCATTTTGACAGCTCTATCCACAGTTTCTTATGTCCGGGTTTCCCTTAAGTGTTCCTGGCTTGGTCAGGGCAAAGCTGAGATTTCCTGTGATTGTAAAATATAGAGAACCAGGTCGTGAATTGTTCCACCCTTAGATTGCAAGCCTTCCCATGTGAAGGAAGGAGCCAATTAGCTTGAATTGTTTCCCGTGACCTAAGTAATCAGAACAAGAAGACTTTTATCCTTTCTGAACACTGTAAGTTGAACTAGAATAAGGAAGATTGGAGCATCTCAAATGTATTTTTGGAGTAGAGAGTTTTATAAATAGTCACTGAGGGTTCTTTGGCATTGTAGAATATACTGGGAATTTTGATAGCACAGACTGAAACTGCATCTTAGAGTAATAATTGTGTCAGGGTGGGCATCCTTTGTGGACATGAGAGTCTCAGGGGAACTGTCCTGATTAATTTTATGCATCATTTCTTCACTGTTCTACCTAGGCGAGGCAGGCTGAGGTCAAACAACTCTTCCGCCCCATTGAGGAGCTGAAGAAAGACTTTGCAGAGCTGAATGTTGTCATCGAGACTGACATGCAGATCATGGTACGACTGATCAACAAGTTTAACAGTTCCAGCTCCACCTTGGAAGAGAAGGTTGCTGCGCTATTTGACCTCGAATATTATGTCCATCAGGTATTGTATTTCTTTGCTCTTCAGTCTGACTTTAACAGATAGTTCCAAATACATACTCCTCAGCCTTAAGTCCTCAGAATATGCATCCACATTTTTAATTCTCTCCTAGTACTTTTTCTGTGGCCTAGGTTTTGTGTGTCTCAATTGGACCCTTTAAGTCTCCAGGATATTTCAGGGAGGACACTGGTAGAAAAGGCATAAATGAGACTGGCACCAACCAGAAGGATAAGGGCCACAGTTAGATAAAGGTTGAGAATCACTGGTCCAGGCCAGAATCTCTTATAATAAAAGGCATTCTTTTTATTTGTTTGTTTTGGAGACACATCTGGCAATGCTCAGAACTTTCTCCTTGCTCTGTGCTCAGAGTCACTTCTGGTGGTGCTTGGGGGATCGTATTTGATGCTTGGAATCTAACCCAGGTTGACTGCATGCAAGGCAAGTACCTTTCCCACTATTATTTTTCTGTCCATTAAGTACATTCTTAGAGCTGAAAATGAAACATCTTTTTCATCTGGAATATTTTGGCCTTTATTTATTTATTTTTCAAACCTCCCCCCCTCCAGGGGGCACCAGTGAAGACAGCCAGGTGCGGGGGCAATAGACTCTGCATTGTTCTCTTTTGGGAGCTTGGTTTTATAGTCTCTGGATCTTGGCCGATGATGGGATTACATGATGTCGAGGGCAGTTGGTGGGTGTAACTGTCTAGCTACTGGAAGATGGGGGATCTGGGTGGAGAAGGAAACTGAGCCCACCCCCCTCCAAGGTGCCCCGGTGAGGACAGCCAGGCCCAGGGGCAGGAGATTCCCTCCCCGGCCTGAGCAGAGCCCTGGAAGCTGAAGACCTCTGGAACCCAGCCATAGCCATGCTCAAGACCACTCTCCACATGCTCGGATGAGCCTCACGCATGAAGGAACCAGCAGAGGAACCCAGACATGCGGGACCCGGGGCTGAGATATCCAAGCCTGCTCAGATCCGGACTGGGCCTCCTCCACCCATATCCCCCATCTTCTAATAGCTAGACAGTTACAGGCACCAACTGCCCCCATCAACAGCCAAAATCCAGAGACTATAAAACTAAGTGCCTGGAAGCATGCAGCTACATTTGCAGCCACGTGACCTCTTTATTTATTTATTTATTTATTGAATCACTGTGAGAAAAGTTACAAAGCTTTCATGTTTAAGTCTCTGTCATGCAAATATCAAACACATTTCCCTTTACCAATACTTATTTTTCACCATGAAGAACCCCAATAAACCCCTCCTCCTAACCCTCCCAATGCCTGTGAGGCAGATAAATTCTAGTTAACACTCTATCTACTTTGATTAGATTCATTGTTTCGAAAAAAGATGCACCATTATTATTTAGAGTTTACACCCCCAAATCAGACATGCTGAAAAGGCATTGTGAAATAATTTGTTTTCTACAGCTGGTCACAAGAATAAAATGATGTCGTGTGGCCGCTCGTGGGTGGCAACTTGTGACCTCGGTAGGGCGTGAAGGACGAGCCCGGAACACCCCCCTTCCCATGAGGTTTCAGTCGCCCCATCACGACCGGCTCATACCTGGCTTTCCACAAAGCTCTGAAGCAGCTGCCATCTTTCTTTCCAGAGGGAAAAAGGCGGAAGGGAGCAACACCCATTCCCCTCCAGGCAGGCATGGTGGCGTGGATTAACGCATAGTCCATTCACTTTTTTTGCTGCCAGCTTCTGAGCTCTGCATTAAGTCCTTGTGCTTCTGGAGCCATGGCCATGCCGGAGAGCCACTCGTGGGGGGCAACTTGTGACCTCGGTAGGGCATGAAGGACGAGGCCACGTGACCTCTTGTTGTCTAGTTCTCACTCTCAGAAAACCCAGCAGGCTACTGAGAGTATCCTGTTCACACAACAGAGTCTGGAAAGCTCCCCGTGGTGTATTCGATATGCCAAAACCCAGTAACAATGATGGGTATCATTCCCCTGACCCTGAAAGAGCCTCTAATGTGGTACTTGCTAAAATCTCAGGGCTAGGACAAATGGAGACGTTACTGTTGCCTGCTTGAGGAAATCAATGAACAATGGGATGACAGTGATACAATGATTATTTTTTTTAATGCTGGTATTTTACTGAAGTGACAGACATTCTAATTTTCTAGAATGGTCTGAGTTTTATGTGGTTTATAAGTTTGGAATAACTGAATTAATGAATATATGACCCAATAAACAAATTATCTATTGAACACACAAAAAGTAACAATTTAATAATGAGATAGCTTAGGGTTGTATAATAAGGGCTCCAGAAGGTAATATAGTATAACACTACACTTAGCTTAGAAGCACTGAGGAAAGGTGCTCAGAAGACATGGAATTTAGGCTAAGCATCAAAGATGAAGGTTTTCTGGGCAAAGAGGAGTGATTAGAGGACATGGCAAACTATGACCCGTAGACCAATCCTGTCCACTGTTTCTATAAATAAAGTTTTATTGGGGGACAGGGTAGATAGTATGGGAGCTGAGGTGCTTATCTTATATTTGACCAGGCCTGGATTTGCCCTAGATATCTGGTCCCCTGAACACTGCTGGGGGTAATCCAGACAACCCCAAATAAAGTTTTATTTAGACATACACAGATATTTGTCTATTGTTTTTATTTATCCAGTTGTATGTTGTGACAGAAACCACTCATCTCACAAAGCCTAAAACATTTATTATCAATGATTTTAGAAAAAAGTTTTCCAAGCCTTAGGTTAGGATATTCAAGGGAGAAGAAATGGCATGTGCATGAATTCTGAAACTGAGATGACATTGATAAGATTGAGGACCTGGAAGAGATGAGGATCACTGGAGTACTGTGGCCTGGGGTGGGGGGATAGAGTGAAATGAACCAGATAGATGGGTTGAGAACATCACCACCATATGATTTAGCCTTAGTTCTAAGATCAGTTGGACAGTTTTAAACAGGAGAATGATTGATCATCATACATGTATCATATGGTAACAGTTAATATTTAGTAAGCATTATCATGTACTACACGGTCAAGTGCAGCATGCACATTAGTTCATTGATTCTCTCTGCTGCTTTGTAAGCCAATATGACTACTAATTCCATTTTACAACTGAAGTAAAAATGGCACAGAAAGATGACACAATTGTCCAGGTCACCCAGTGAGTAAGATAGAGTTGGGCTTTACAGGATGGTCTGTTTGACCCTAAAGATGGAAAAGGAAGATCTGAAGAGAGCAAGCCAAGGGAAGACATTTATTTATTCCATAAATAGATTGTGTGCCTGCTGAGTCCCAGGTACTGTTCTCGACCCATAACTGGTGAACAGAATTGGAGCTTGCTAATAGAGGCAGATACACAATAAACATTCCCAATAAATGACTCATAAATGATGTGCTTGGAGTAATAAATACTGTGGGTGAATAATAAAGTAGAACAGGCTGAGGGTTGACAGTGTTGGAAAAGAGCATCTCAGGATTGAGAAACAAAGTACCAAAGCCCAGAGGTGAGAATATGTCTAGGGTGTTTGAGGAACTGCTCTAGACACTCCAGAGGTCAGAGTAGCTGGGAGCAGAGAGAAATGGGTGCAAAGTAGATGGAGCTCAGAGCAGGGATGGGAGGAAGGTCTTGTAGCAAGGGAGAGAAGGAAATCGGCTATTACTGGGGGAAGCTGAGCAGTAGAAGGGCATGCTCTGACCTCTCTTTGTTTTTGAGTTGGGGCCACACTGGCAGTGCTGGCTATTCCTGGTGCATTGCTCAGGGGTCTCTCCAGGTGGTGCTCAGAGGACCTGGAACTCCTGCATTCAAAGCATGTGCTCCAGCTCCCTGAGCCATCTCCTTAGCCACCTGACTTTCCTTTCAAGGATTCCTCTGGCTGCTGTGTTGAGAATGTGAAAGATATGGGGACTGTGGAAGAAGTGGGGCAAAGGCTGTTGCAGCAATCCAAGCTAGGGGCCTGGGAAACCTGTGTAATCATAATCAAAGACTTGTTGGAGATCCTCATCAATACAGATCTTCAGCATACTCCCACGTACGTCCTCCCAGAGTTCTTGTTCTCTAAACGAGGCTGAAAGACATTCTTTCTTTAGGATCTGCCAGCCTTCCAGGGAGAGATGCGTGTGTACGGTAGCTGCAGGGTTGGCGGGCGGCTCTTCATATTCTGTCTCTGCTTGTGATTCCCTCTCAGGCTCAAGCAGGGGCTCAAGCTGAGGGAAAATGTAACTGTGTTCTCTATCCCTGCTATGGGGTAAAAACAAAACCAAACTCACGGCCTTTCCATTATAGAGAATTAAAGAATTAAAGATCCAAAGGGCCAAATCACTGCTGCCCAGACACTGACAGTGTAATTTTTTTTTCTCTCACTTAGTGGAAGGAGGTTTAGGGGTCCGGTTTCTGTAGGTTTTTCTTTCATTGCAGCATAAAAAGCCGAACTGAGTAGAGAGCGCATTGTACCGAAGAGGGAGGGAGTGCTGGGGAGGCTGGTGGGGACCCTCTCTTCACTTACACGCCAGTAGTGCACCTCGCAGTGTCATCCTGAGGGTGACACCCTGTTCTGTTCTCATGGGTCATTGGGTGAGCTAATCAGTTTCAGGAATATCCCCCGAGTCAGGATGTGAGAAGCCCAGGAACCAGTTCCTTGAGGGAGGCCAACAGCGTGTTGGTTCTGGCTGTTGCCTTTGGTTTGGGTTTGGACTAGTTGGTGGGGGGCTGCCGGGCACTCATATTAGGTTTGCTTTGAGGAAAATAGGCCTTTTCGTGCCAGGCTTTTCAGCAATCCACATCTGTGCCAGACTTAACTGATCAGAGGTGATGAGGAGCTCAGGGCTTTAAGGATCTGGACGAGATCTGTCCTCACAGCCATCTTTGAATAATTCAGCATAGTTTATGAAAGCAAAACTGTGTGTGGAAATCAGCAAGTTGTTTATGACAGGGAACCTCCTTCTGCCTCATGCACCCTGGTGTGTTTCTTTTCCTCACATTCATGCTCAGTTATTTACCATCATTTCTCCTCCTCTTTCCTGCGCCCTCATTGTGCTGTCTGTTCTCATTTCCTCTAGAATGTTATGCAGTTCCTTCTGTTCTCTTTCTTACTTGAGTGCCTTTTCTTTACCTTTAGTCCTCATCCTCCCATCCTATCCATGCTCTACCTGAAGGCAGCCTGGGGAATGTTCTTTTCCAGACCTGGAGAAGTCTGGTGGGGTGAGGGGTGGTGGGGGTCCTGTGACCAGGCCCAGATTCCTGGTCATCACTGGGCAGAGTGACTGTTTTCTTCCCCACCACTAGTGAAATAACAAATGGGAAAACATCTTGAGAAAAGCTGAAGTGCTTATGTCAGTGGAGGCACTTATAACCCCTGATTCTTGCAGTAACACAGACAAGCTGAATCTAGAGCAGGGCCTTCGTGGCTCCTAGTCGTGTCGCTCAGGGGCCATCCAGGAGACAGCTGCTCTGCAGGGAGCTCAGAGCAGCTCTGATGAATGTCCTGGATGAGTGGCAGTAATCACAGGGTGCAGGGCTATTGCTTCTCTAGCCATAAAGCCCGCAGGAAGGAGGCTGGAAGTTGAAGTCCTACATTCTTAGATTTTCAAAGAAGAGTACATGAGAAAGGAAGGTGGACTCAGAAAGGACTGTTTGTGCTTCTGTCAGCATGGCTCCATCTCTGAGTCTCCCCAGCTAGCTGGGCGCTGTCATCCAGGCCTCATTGTTTCCTTAATAAGGACACATAGGGACAGAAAACCCTGGGCCTGACTCAGGGCCCTAATGGCAGAGTAGACTCTGTGTTTCCTCTGTTTCCTCTGCACAGGCCATCTCTGCAGATCTGTCCATCATCGCTCTACCCGGCCCCTCTGTTGTGTTGGCACACGTGCCCCAAATTTCCTCTTCACTCCCCGTGGAGTTTATTACAGTAAATGTTTTCAGTTCAGATTCATTCATTGCTCTAAAGATTCTTTATTGAGCACCTACTCATCACTGTCATAGTCATTAGACCTACAACTATGAATAGGATGATAAACCTTAACTGGTCTTATAAACTTTATATCAAAATGTTTAAGAGTTTCTAAGTAGCTAAGTCCACCCACAGTCATCATCAGAGTCAAATACAACTATCCTTCAAGCTCAGTCTTTGCTAGAGCTCTTCACAGTCCAGAAGGACACAGCTAGGGCAGACCCACTGGCATATGGAGGAGAGTGGGGTGCAGTCACCTTGTTGTTGGGTGCTGGATTCCCGAGTTTTCAGGATGATTTGTAGAGTGAGGTTCAGCATGTGGGCTAGAGACAAACTCTATAGCATCGGAGACTTTATCTGTCACGTGGGGGGAAACAACAAGGATCCAGCAACCTTTCTGAGGAGCTTGAGTCATCTTCTCAACTTTCTCTTCCCTTATTTCTGCTTTTGAGGTGCTTGAGCTCTGGATACAGTCTGCAAGTGGCTATTCCTACAGGGCTCATAGTCCCCTGTGTGCAAGGCAGGTTCTTATTCACCGAGCTATGTCCCATCCCTGGGCCCCAGCTGAGTCTTCCTGTTTGAGGAGGCTCAGGAAGCTTGGGGAATGAGGTCCTTTTTACAAAGAGAGTTTGGACTAGAGGCTTCAAACTAAGTGATAGTGTGCCAAGATGGGGAGACAGCACATGGGATAAAGCACCTAGTGGTCTCTGGCCCCTCATATTCCCTTGAGCACCACTGGTAGTAAGACTTCTTTTTTTTTTAAAGTCCACAGAGCTTTCTGTGATGGTGGAAATGTTGTGCATGGTTTAATAATAGTCACTAGCCAGTAATGTAGGCCTATCTGAAAGTCTTTGAGAAATGGACTTCTGTGCAGACTTCTCTTGAATGCCCTCAGATTCAGTTAAATATACAAAGTCAGGAAGAGGAATGAGAGGAAAGCGGTTGTTACTTTCCTGATGGCACTCTAGTAGCCCCGTTCCCCCTTTATCTGGTTGTTCTTATAGTCCCAGATTTATAATTAGAAATGAACTTTCTTCTTTTATTTTTAAGCATTTGCTGCTTGAACTAAAGCCAGTGGGGCTGGGCATCAACAAGAAGCATTGAGCAATATGATGACGCCAGATCTTTGTGTTAACAGCTTGTGCATTAGGAGTAAGCTTTGTGACTCATTATTACAGTATTAAAATTTTCCAGGGATGTTTGGCAAAAGCAACAGCTAGGTTGCATTTCCGCCTGTTCTCATGCAGGTGCTCATAAATCACATAAAGTTAAGTTCTTAAATTTAAGATTTAAATTTTGCTTTGTCTCTTTGCAAACCTTTCCAAGTAGTCTGAAAGGCTACCATGGTTGTTTACTTCAGGGTTAGGTTAGTGCAGTCACTCAAAAAAGATTATGAAGAGAGCTTTTCTTTCTTTACTGGCTTCAGGTTACTAAGCAGTAACTTTGTTGCAGATGGATAATGCACAGGACCTGCTTTCCTTCGGTGGTCTTCAAGTGGTGATCAATGGGCTGAACAGCACAGAGCCTCTGGTGAAGGAGTACGCTGCCTTTGTGCTGGGGGCAGCCTTTTCCAGGTGAGTAGGAAGGAGGAATGTCCCATTGACCATGTTCATTCAGGCCTTCAGGTGAAGTCTAGCCTTCTTAGCCCAGTTTTCCTAGAAAGTGTCACTTGATCTCAAGCATATCCCCTCCTAAATTTTAAGGTAATTCTAATGAAACTTGAGTGATATGGGATTGGGAGGGGAAGCAGAATTGGGAAGAAGGAAAGGAAATTGCTGCCACACCCTACAGTGCTCAGGGATTACTCCTGGCTCTGTGTTCAGTGATTATTCCTGGCGATTTCCTGGGAACCACATTGCAGGGACAGGGGATTGAACTGGGGTCAGCTGCAGGCAAGGCCAGCACCTTAGCCACTGTACTATTTATCCTACCCCCAAAGTGAGATTTTGATTCTTATTCCAAATAGAAAAGAATTTTCACTCATGTTGTCACCATCTATATAGGACTCTGTTGCTTCATCTATAATATACGTATATATGAACATTTAATTGCTTCTTAAAGTATGTGCTATTTTATTCAAAACTAATAAAAAGTTAGATAACCATTGATAATTGAGAAGGAGGAGAATAAACTCCAAGTGTTGATTCTGGACATGCTTTATCTGGTGATGAAGGTATGAACTGAACTAGCAGTGGGGTGGAGGGAAAAATGTGTCTGGGTGCAGTCAACATGCAGTCAACCTATTATACTCTCTGGGCTAGGAGTTGCTTGGAACTGAACTCTTAAACTGTGGGTGATCATGGTTTAGGGAGTCATGTAACTGAATGTGGGGTTTCAGAGAGTTTGACATGGTGAACAAAAATTAATTCAGAATCATACATGTAATGAATCTAATGAATCCAAGGTGTTTCTGACAGTGCTTTTCTGTGTTGTGTTTCTCGGTGGATAGGGGTGGCGGCAGGTAGAAAAAGTTTAAGAAGATCCTGGTTTTGTTTCACTTAAGCTAGCCTCAGCTAGAACCGGTCAGACAAGAGGAATGGGGAGATGGAATTCCTGAAAAGTGGAAGCAGAAAAATATTTGGGTACCATATTGTTATACTCATCCTTAAAGAATATAGATGTCTTTATACTACAGCTGGTCCCCTGGAGTTGCTGTTGTTCCCATTGCTGAACAAATGTCTGCTCAGATGAAATTGTGTCTCTGAAATAGGAACCAGTATTTGAATTCTTGCTTCAAGGGGATAGATGCTGACTACCAGGCCCTGCCCTGCTTGAGTGGAGGGATTGTGATGCTGCCAGAAAAAGGCTATTCTGAACATTTTTTTACTCTAGGATGCTTTGTTTTGAAAAGATTTGCTTTGCATCCCCACTTTTCTTAATCAGAATCTCAATCTGATGTCCTCTCCTGTTTGCATCTTTTCTTGGTTAAATGGGGTGGGGTGGGGAGAGGCAGGGTGGTGTGGGGAGAGGAAGGGTGGGATGGGCAGAGTAGGCAAGGCTGAAGTGTGGTTGCAGTTAGGAAAGGCTGAGAGCAGTGCAGGATCTCTTTCTCTTACTACGAGCCTGTCTTGATCTATACACCCTGGTTGTCCTGTATTCAAGGCTTCCAGAGCTTTCCACCTCCCTTGGTCTTACCTCCTGGAGCCAGAGTTTCCCAGAAGCTCAGAGACTTATGTGCCTTGGAGTCCCCCTGAAGGTGGAGAGTCTGCACGTTTGTCAAAGGCAGCTGTGTTTTCAGCCCAGGAGAAGCAGAGGGTTAGCTTCTAAGGCTTTTGCAGCTTGAGAACTTATGGAGGTTTACTTTTTTGTTTTTCAAGCCTTTATAAAGGAGCTAAATAAAATGCTATTCATTTTTCTCTCAAGACCCATTTAGGATATTTTTTCTTCCTGTAATCCCAAGCATTTTCTTTCCACTTTCAATTTGAACATATCACTCTACCTGTCCTTTGCCATTGCTACTGGAAACACATTTCATGGGGGAAACTGTAGCTTTTGATGTCACCTCTTAGCTGAAGGTGAGCATGTGACTTGAGAAGGATGCATTGAACCTCCTTAGCAGGCCATAACTCACCCAGAGACTGTGCCAATATGTGGTGTCATTAAGAATTTTCTGTGATTCCAGATTCTAGCTATTGTAAAGAGTGCTGCAATGAACAAACAAGTGCAGATGTCACTTTGACTATACTTTTTTGCCTCTCTGGGATATATTCCCAGGAGTGTTATTGATGGGTCAAATGGGAGCTCAATTTCTAATTTTTTGAGGATCGTCCATACTGTTTTCCAAAAGGGCTGAACCAGTCGGCATTCCACCAGTAGTGAAGGAGAGTCCCTTTCTCACCACATCCACGCCAGCACCAGTTGCTTTTGTTCTTTTGGATGTGGGCCAGTCTCTGTGATGTGAGATGATATCTCATTGTGGTTTTGATCTGCATCTCCCTGATGATTAATGATGTAGAGCATTTTCTCATGTGCCTTTTAGCCATTCAGATTTCTTCTTTGAGAAAGTTTCTGTTCATTTCATCGCCCCATTTTTTGATGGGGTTGGTTGTTTTCTTCTTGTGGAGTTCAACCAGTATTTTGTATATCCTTGATATCAACCCCTTGTCGGATGTGTATTCGGAGAATATCCTTTTCCATTCTGTAGACTGTCTTTGTATTTTGGCCACTGTTTCTTTTGAGGTGCAGAAGTGTCTTAGTTTAAGATAGTCCCATTTATCTATCTCTGTTTTCACTTGGTTGGCCAGTGGCATGACATCTTTGAAGATACCATTAGCTTCAATGTCATGGAGGGTTTTGCCAACTTTGTCTTCAATGTACCTTATGGATTCCAGTCTGATGTTGAGGTCTTTGATCCATTTTGATCTTACTTTTGTACTTGGTATTAGGGACAAATCTGAGCCCACTTTTTTGCAAGTAACTGTCCATTTTTGCCAGCACAATTTGTTAAAGAGGCTTTCCTTGCTCCACTTCACTTTTCTTGCCCCCTTATCGAAGATTAGATGAAACCTGAGTGTCCGAGAACAGATGACTGGTTAAAGAAACTTTGGTACATCTACACAATGGAGTACTATGCAGCTGTTAGAAAAGATGAAGTCATGAAATTCATATACAAGTAGTACTACATGGAAAATATCATACTAAGCGAAATGAGTCAGAAAGAAAGGGACAGACATAGAAAGATTGCATTCATCTGGGGAACATAAAGTAACGAAATAGAGACTAACACCCAAGAATAGCCGAGATAAGTACCAGGAGGATTACTCTATGGCTTTGAGGCCAGCCGCACATGCTAGGGGAAAAGGCAGCTCAGATAGAGAAGGGAGCACCAAATAAAGGGTGGTGGGAGGTTCCTCTCCGGATGGGAAATGCGTGATGAGAATAGACTGTAGATCGAACATGATTGCCACTCAGTGTCTCTTTTGCAAACCACAGAACTTAAAAGGAGAGAGATAACAAAAGGGAATGCCCTGCCACAGAGGTAGGGTGGAATGGGGGTTTGGGGGGTGAGAGGGATACTGGGACTGGTGGTGGTGGAGAATGGGCACTGGTGGAGGGATGGGTATTCGATCATTGTATAACTGAAACCCAAGCACAAAAATTTGTAAGTCTACAACTGTACCTCATGGTGTTTCACTAATGAAAATTTAAGGGAAAAAAAAAAGAAAAACAAGAATCGAGGAGATTGAAAAAAAGAATATTGAATACATGATTTATTTTAGCAATACTAATCACTTGATCACTTGACATCTCATTACTCATCGATTTGCTCAAATTGGTGCCAGTAACGTCTCTATTCATCCCTGTCACGTGCTAGTGTAGCCCAATGGCGTCTGTTTGCTCCAGGAATACCCAGAACCTCAAACTGTTTGTTCAGGGTCTTGATGAAGAAGTCTGAGTGTCTTGTAGATGGGTGGCCAATCGATCTTTTGATGTCCTGTAAAGAAAAAAAGAAGAATTTTCTGTGATTGTATTAGCATAAAACCATGTTAACATTTATGTTGCATCACTAAAATTTAAACAGAGATAAATGTAAAATAATGCAATTTAGTGTTTTTGGTGTCGAGAAAACTGCTGTATTCAAATTGTTCTAGCTGGGCTTTTGATAGCTCACTGGAGGGCAGTTAGACTGACAGCATGGTATGGAGCCAGAGCCTCTGGAAGCCAAGAGCAGGTTCCTGAGCATCAGGAAAATGGCAGTGTTTTATTCAAAGAACTCCTTGATGCGTAGAAGCAGATCTTGTGACTTTAGTCTGCAATTCATTATTTACTCTTCAGGTCCTAAGTACTTCTCAGTCCTGCAGCTCTCCACCTCCCCCTGGCATATGGAGTGGGCACACTTGCACACAGAATGGTGAACCGAACTTGCTCTTTTTCAAGTGGATATTCAGAGGATAATGAACTTGTGGGGATCATGGAGCTCACGCCTTGGGTTATTTAGCGAGAGGTCATTGCTTCTACTCCTCACTGACTCGAGAGAATACTGCCACAGGTCAATATTCCAAAGTGGGCAGTACGATTATGGGAGCATGGGAATACTCCGAGGGGGAGAAGGGGCTGTGACAGTAACCTCTAGTACAATTGGGGACACTTTTTATCCCCTTCAGTAAAAGAAGGCAAGTTTCCAGGGAGTTTTTATTTCTCCCTTTTTGAAAAAGAGGTGTGACAGGCCAGAGAAGACTGAGAACCTCTGGATGGTTGAGTAATTCGGAGGTCCCAGCTGACCAGGAATGAGGCTCAGGTTTGCCTCAGTCATTTCCTGGCTGTTTGCCCAGATGCAGCTTATTTTTATCATTGCTAACCCTCACCTTTTTCATTTCTTAGGTGGGAACAATAATAGGTTTCATTTGCATTTACTGAGGTTGAGTTAGTATGGAATAAACTGCCCTGTGAAAATGCTTATAAAGCTCCTGTTCATGACTGCATGGTGTAATGACATGGCGAGTTTTCACTGTAAGGAAATTCTTCTGTTTCTACCATATAAGCTTTATCCTCCTTATTTTCTGCTAAGGTGGAAAATTCTCTGTCTCATGGTGCTAATCTTGCTGCTTCCTGAGAGTGTATATTTGTCAGCCTG